TGAGCACTGCATCCCGTCATTTTGACTAACTGGAAGCATAAACAGGGTCAACTGTGTTGCTTGATGATATACTAGGATAATAGCATCAACAAGAAATCAGGAAGCACGTGTCATTTTATTTTGAAATCTCCAAGCGAGACCACACGCAGAACGGTCTGGACACAGCGATGTCACCGCTGAGAAGGTCTGGTCTCCACCAAAACACGCTTCTCTTTGTTCAGAGCATTTCGAGTTATCTGCTTACGATAGAAGGAATTGGGATATGAAAACCCAAGAGTGAAACTTAAGCCAGATGCCGTGCCCACATTGTTCCCGAGGAAAACGTTTGTTAATTTTGACAGTGCAACTTAGACTCGGGGTGCTTACAGGAAGCGACGTGCAATCGAGGTAGTCCACTGACCAGGGAAATTTTAATAATATTATTATGTCGATCAAGATATAGCAGTTATATTATATTTTTATGTTAAAACTGTGCATAGTTCTATGGTGAAACCGACACGCTTTAAAAATCTAGCAATAGAAATGACTGATATAACCATAGCAACGAAATGTAAACAACACAGCTACGAGGTAGCCTAAATACTAATGTAAATTAATATCCCCTTTTCGAAGCGTCTTCCGTGTCAGTAGTAGGTGTAGGCGTATATCGATGATTTTGCATTCGATCATAGATAGTCCTGGAGATAGGAAGTCCGCCAGATTTAACTAGGTAAATGACTGATAGAATTCTTTTTAAAGCGATAGGCCTATACTGTTACATGACTCTCGGTTTTCAACTGTTGCACAAAGAAAGTCCGTATTACCCTATGGCTAGGGTAAGCTTCTCTGATATATTTTCAATGAAGCGAAAAGTTATCGAGAATTGAAGGACTGTGGTAATAAGACAAGGTACTCTGTCTGACCTAATCGGAACACAGCCTGCAGCGATTATTCTTCTTTGCCAGAAATGGTAGAACGTTCCGAAACATAATTGTCACGTTGTTGCTCGCATTTCTAATTGGCTCGTATTGATAGGGAAGAACACTCGGGGCGAACGAGCTGGCATTTTCTGCCGGTGCCATATTGAAATATACATCGAAATAAACGTCATGTCACTAGCCTGGAGGTCGGGTGTTCGATCCCTGCATTGGCCGAGAAAGTTCATTCAGATTTCCCGGCGTTTTTCTCCCTTGTCAGTGATGCCGGATGAAGGGTCTGACAAGGACAGCTGTCTAGTCATTCGGATGAAACAAAAACCGAGGTCCTGTGTACACATTGGCGTGCACGTAAAAGATCCCTTGGCAGTTAGAATTCGATATAAGAATAGACCGTAGTGCAGCTGTCCGGGCAAAATTTCCCCTCATAGCACACTGTATGGCGTATGCCCGTCTTTATTAGCTTAGTTCGGAGCAGAACAGTAGGATGTTAAACCCAATTTCATTTCATTTCGTCATGAGTAAGAACGTCGAACAATCGTAACAATAAGGGCGATAATCCGGATAGAATCTCGGAAAACACTAAATATAGTGTAGTGAGCAAACAAGAAAACAGGTGGTTGTAAAAAGTTGTGTCTATTTTCCTATTATTCATAAAATCATGACAGGATATTAATTACTTAATAAGTATCATTATTAACCCGTCTGATTTAAGTAGTATGATATGATTACCCTTTGTTGATATTTAACATTGCATTGTTTTATGATGTAGATATACCAGGATGAGTGATGTCTTTCGCTTGTCTCTTTGAAAAGCCAGTTATGACTTTATGACTTTAATTTGTACTCTTTACTTCACAGATGACATGACCTGGATAGGAGATTTGAATGAATTGGAAACAATTTGATGTATTATTGTAGTTAAACGTAGTGTACAAGAAGACATCTAGAGCAAAACCTTGCTGCCTGTGCATCATGGACGGGGGAACGGTATTTTGGTGGTGTTAATCCGAGGTCACGCCGTGTACACATAAAAGAGCCCTTTACAGATGGATTTCAAAGGAGAGTTAGCGGAAATTCCGCTATCTGGGTAACCCCCGCCGCCCATCAACTCACCCCACCCCGCACTGCCCACGAAACAACTGATGTATCATTAACCCCATTTCATTTCAATTCCGCTGGTATCATTATGACGGCTGTTCTGCAATTCTAGTACAAATAATCTTTAGTAATCAATAATAGTATCACCTTCCAGATGACACACGAAATCAATAAGGCAATTTTACAATTTCCAACATGATTATATATTACAATTAAATAATTACGTAGATTACTATACATTCAAATGCTAAAACTAATACATCATAAAGAGTGATCTAGCTCATACGAAAAATTAGAGCAATAGAATCCCCAATGTAAACTACACATTTAGGATGGAGAAGGAACTCATCAATTAAAGTTTGAACTATATAGTAAATAAATGTATACTATTGATTGTTCATGGTCTGAAATTTTATATTGAACCACTTTTATTCTGGTGTGTTCTGGGACTTCAGGTATTTATTAGCTGACACGCAATTCCCAAATGACTACGCAGACATACTCAACATCAACTTCATTCGGGAACCTCCGTTTAAAAATTTCACTTTCTGGATCGCATTTGTTTGGTACTATCTAATCGATACGTCAGATAACGACGCATCCCGGTTTTTATATTTTCAAGGAAACGAAACGATTGGATAATAAACGAAGTTAATTAAGGAAGTGTTTAAAGATAAGGAAATACCCCTGTGATATTAATAGATTAGAGTTATATCTAAAGCAGACAATCTTGAATTATAAAATTCAACACTGCGTCGTCATATTTTTTAACAGTATTAAAGATGCATTATGTAATATTTAGATAAAGGGCTGACAGTTCTTGCTATAATTAGTTTAAAAATTAATACCGAGTATATTAAATATATTGGAAATTTAAATCATATTACTTAAAGTTGTGAAAATAATTAGCCTGTATAATTGGTCTCGGCCAACGCAGGTGTTGAACACGGAACCGCCAGGTTAGCGGGGGTGGGGTGTAACTAAACAACAAAATGTTGGTATACACATCAATCACAAGGACCAAAGTCTGGATCACAAAGTCTGTCATTGAGTCAAGTGGCGTTGTTTCGATATCTGTTTGTACGTGACAAGGGATAGGGTCGCATGTCCAGCCCCGTGGGGGTTTTCCGGGCCCTCCGATTTAATCCTACTGCTATATTGAAATGAAATTAAACCATAATATGCTTGTTCCAAAATGTGTCGAGTGGACGTCAAACCCTCTCTCTGTCTATCTCTCTCTCTCTCTGTCTGTCTTCCCCCCCCCCCATATCTCTCGCTCTTAAAACTACAAATTATGTGAACTTGCAAATGACTTATCGTTTGCAATCCGGCATCTATTTCAGACCCAATTAGCACAATATTTCAGACGATGTTCCCCAGGAGTCATATTATTTGCGAGTGTATTATTAAGCTGTAAGATTTATGAAATCAACACAAGTTTGTTTTTAACGTATAACGAGTTATGGTTTAGACTTGTCAATGCAAAGTATTCAAGATATATCGCTAATGTGCCATAGAGGGTATATGGATATACAATATGATTTAATATAAATAAAACTATGCTAGATGTCATTTTCGTTCCATTTATTCGGTTGGTCACTTAAAGATACATTCGCTTAATAAAAGTAAAAAGAAGTACTCTGAGCGTGTGACGGTACAATCAAATGGCTGAACAATAGCCAATCGCTAGTGGTCGACCAATATGCATATAACTAAATTCCCCCTGTAAAGAAATGTCTTTAAACAGTGATGACATGTCGAGAGGGGAGTAGAGAGGTCCATTTTATTTGGGCAGCCACTCAGAGAGTGAAATCAAATTAAGTTTTATCTAAATTCGAAATCACCGCTGTTAACTTGGTTTGTATTTCATTTGTTTTAACATACTTAAAATGTTATATACTATAGGCCATATACTTGAGTCATAGGGGCATACAATCAAGGAGTTGACCTCGGACACCACAAAACCTCTATATGCCAGTAATGGTGTAAAGTAATTATTCGAGAAAGAGATGTTCTGTATAATTCTAATCGGACAGCTTTAAATACTAAACTGACTACCCATGCCATGTTAATAATTCACAAAACAGCAAATGTATGGACGGTTGTGTGGTATCTATATGGAATTGAAAAGCACTTATAAATGTAATAAACTGTAATAATGTTTATGAACTGATTTATATTCAATTATTAAAATTCTTGATTGAATAGCATGGGCAATACGATTTCACACTGACTTGTTTGAAAGCGCCCCATTACAAATTTTGATGCCATAAAGAACATAATATTCCATATCAGACGCCCATATTTTCACGGTATATAACAACATCCATTAAAATGTACCAATATCAAATTCTAATTCATGTTTTTTATTTCGAAGTCTATGGATACTATTGAGTTAGAAGGTTAGCTCCTTTAACCCGCAGTGTATACTGTTTATTTGCAATCTGATTAAAATACAGATCTATATTTCGTTTCGGTTTTTTTATACTTTCGATGGCCTACACTACATGAAGATCTGACAAGTTATAGCGATAGGTCACGTCAGGGGTCAAAAGACCGACTTATGACCCTATGATGTCAGACATTTGATTAACCAATCAGCATTGATGTTACTAGTGGATTACCCACAGTTCCGTGACGGAAAAACACGCCTAAAGCTCGCCGTAACAGACCGTTGCATTTGCTTATCCCTGACACCATTCAGAACACGAGTTAAATAACAACTCTTCCAGATCCAAGTGTAGTAAAGACAAGTAAAACGAAATTTTGAACTATAAAAACGAAACGAAATAGGATCTGTGTTTTAACCAGATTGGTTTATTTGCTTATAATATAGCCTTTATTATGATGACTAGGTTGTATAACACCGTTAAAAGTTCGGATGGGGCATGCACCATATCTAATGCAAGCTTCATAAAAGTAAATTAGTATGATGCATGTATATAGTTACATATATTATTTATTAAATGTAGTTATTTTACTTACCGAGCATTCGTCGATGTTTGCTTTTTGTTGTAGCTATTTCTCCTGGTTTAAACATGGTTGTGCTTCCGGTTTCTTTTAACAATAATCCAATAGTATTGAAACTCAATTAAAGCTCACTTTATCTATCACAGAATCTTAAAGCATGAATAACAAGCATTTTCACAAGTAATGTATGAACAAATGTTAATTCCATACAAATTGTTCACATCGAATCCAGTGACGGTTTAAATACATTGATAATAAACGATATTCGAATATCTGTATTCCAGTTGTATTCACTACAATATCACCATTCCAAGACAAATCCTATATGATAAAATGCCATCTTTGATCCCAATTGCCATCGCCGTATTCCACAAATAAACCGTGAACAAATCCACATGTTCAACAATGTATTCCACACAAATAGGTCGTTTTCTGGTATTAATTATTTATTTTCATAGTTCAAACACAATTCACAGGATCGATTCCAATGGAATTGATCATGTAGGTTCAATATAGATACAATATTATAATTATTTTGAAATTGTGATTAATATTACGTCATCCATAGTAAGTGACACGAGTACATGCCATATATCTAAAATGGCGGCGTATCTGGCTTCATCTGGATGTAATTAAACACACTTCATATTTTAGTGACACACCCCGTGTTGGATTATTTTGGTGGTGATAAACATTCTCGAATTGTTTGTGTGCCTATAACAAAACAATAATAGATATTAATAAAAGGTTTTTTAAAATATAGAAGTTAGTGGGTTGAATGGCCGAATGGTCTAACGCGTGCACTTTAGATAACAAGGTCTGTCAATGAGTCAGGTAGCGCGGCTTTCATCCCGAAATGACATAGTTTGTTTTGAGTGGACATTAATTTACTAAAATGCGTTTTATGGTATTTTAATTTCTTTTAATTTCAAACTGAACAACATTTAACCTTCATATAGATGCTGTTCTCAAGTGAGGTTATTTTTTTTAGAATAACCTTTGCGTAAAGTTTAAAACGCTTCGCATGTTCATATTAGAGGCGTTAGTTCCAAAAAACGGTCGCTTGAAAAAGGCCTTTGTATGAAACGTTAAACAGAAATAAAATGAAATGGGGTTTAACTTCCTACGATTCTGCGACTGGGCTAATGAAGACGGGCATACGCCATACAGTATGCTATGTGCGACATTTTGCCTGGACAGCGGCGCTGCCTAATCGTATATCGAATTCCAGCTGCCAAGGGACCTCCGTTTCTCGTCCCATCCGAACCAACAGACAGCTGTCCTTGTCAGACAGGTGAAACCACGCCCAACGTTAAACAAAACAGTAAAAATACATATCTACATAGCACAATGTACATGTACCTTGTTCTTTTTTGTTCTTTGTTTTTAGAAATAAATTGTTTTATTGTCAGGCCCTACTTACTGCACCACTGACAAGGGAAACCGCGCCCAACGTTAAACAAAACAGTATAAATGCACATCTACATTGTACTAAAATGCGTTGTATAAAGTTAAACAACGCATTTTAGCACAATGTACATGTACCTTGTTCTTTTTTGTTCTTTTTTAAAAAATAAATTGTTTTATTGTCAGGCCCTACGTACTGCGCCACTGACAAGGGAAACCACGCCCAACATTAAACAAAACAGTATAAATACACATCTACATTGTACTAAAATGCATTGTATAAAGTTATGCAACGCATTTTAGCACAATGTACATGTATGTTGTTCTTTTTTGTTCTTTTTTTTTAGAAATAAATTGTTTTATACCCCGGAATTGCATATCAAATAGTAAAGATAATAGGTAATATTTTGATACTATATGTATAATAATATAATTTATACGATATGCGCTGGAATGGAATATTTAACCAAAACATTGGCACCCGCATCCGTGTGAGTAAACTACGTAGCATACAACGACATAATTGATAACGGCATTCTTTTAGTACTTGGTTCAGTCATGGTGATAGCATGATTTACATCAATCAAACTAAAACTAACTCGGTTTAGCATATTTTAATTGTGAATAAATATGGTTAATTGTATGGAAAAGTCACTTTACGATAATTTATTCCATTAACTGCCTATGATTACTTTTTCTAAGAATTGCTAACAGCTAAGTTTCCTGTGTGATTGCGCATTACTATTCTCCAAACAGCCCATATTGCGCAGCTTTATTGCCCACGCGTCCTGAACGTCCGTTATACACCCATTAAATTACTAGTCAGCATTAGATACTTGGTATTCATACTGTTATATTGAGATATCACATATAATTTATATCTAATATCAAATATGATTGAACCTTTTGTACTGGCTACTATAAATAAAACCAGAGATTATTCTTGGTCCTAACTATACGCGTATATGAAGATCATTGTTATTATTTATACATTTAGCTGTGAATAAGATTCCTGATAAAAAACAGATAACTTCACCGGAAGTTTTATATTATTTATGTCACTTCGGTCACTCTACGTTGAAGATGCATTATGTAAGAGCTAAATCTGCCTATTTCAGGTCTTTATGTCGGCTTCAAATGTTACAGAACCTATTATTTAGGCATTTATTCACATGGCATGCCAGAAACTATCTCTCTAGATCATCAGATGGCCGAGATTTAAATGGACTGAAACACGATCCCCATTTCAAAATTTAATTTAAAAATTGACAATCTAGACTTAGTCTCGATTGTCAAACACCGTTGCTACGATAATTAACAATCTACGCTTTATTTTTAAACACTGATAAATTCGCTCAGAATATAGCAATTTGAATTAAATTTTCAATATATTCATTTTTCATTATCTATGGCAAGAACGACAAGCCCTTAATCCAAATCTTACATAATGCATCTTAAAGCATGTTTACGATCTTTTCAGAACTTTCATATGTGGAAAATAGAAGATTTGCATATCGAAACCCACTTGTATCGATGCAATCTATGGTGGATTCTTTACGTTGAAATGTTCCCTACTTCTCAGATGTTTATTTAATATCGATTAAAGACCCACTAAAAATTACAGGGACGTTACGCCTCATGGAATACTAACCCTAAATACCGCCTGTATGCCTAGTTTAATTTCAGATGAATTTCTTTACATTTTAAAAAATAACTCTTGTTATCTTCCCGCATAACATGCCATCGGTGATATATTGGATATATCATTTCATTTAAGAAACTTTGATGTGTCAGTCTCGGAAAGAAATTATTCACTCTTCATTTTGATTTAATGTACGATATATGGGGTCACAGCAGTCATTTGATGTTGACGGATGGCCATTTCAAGACAAATTCTTGGCTTTAATAATGCATAAAACATCGTACAAGAGAACTATATCTTAATAAGATAACATAAAAAATCGTTATTTTTTACCGTTCAGTAGAAGTATAACCAGTTTATTATCACCATTTTGTAAATTATTCATTATTAAGTAGAGTAGAAAGAAACAAGGTAATATCAAGGGATTTATTTCTACATAATTGTCACTAACAGGATCTCAGAAATGTAATGAACGTATTTATATAATCCAGTTAAAGATGTATTATGTAAAATTTAAATAAAGAGATTGCCGTTCTTGCAATAATAGTTCAAAAACAGATAATAAAAAATGATTATATTGAAAGTTTCATTCAAATGACTTTATCCTGAGCGAAGTTATCAGTGTTCGGACTTTTCACACGATGTACACTGTAACAAAATAATCCGTGTAAAAATGTAAAAGATTCCGGAAACAAAAATTACCAGGAAAATTTTATCCGTATTTGTTTTTCCTGTAATTTACAGAAAATCCTTCAATTAACATAAATTCCATTTTCAAATATTGAAAAAAAATCCTGGTAATTTTTGTTTCCTGAGCATGAAACTGATAAAAATTTCAATGAATTAACTAACCATTGACTTTGTACGCATGTGTGAAATAGCTTTATTTAACATTCGCTTCCACCGAAGTGATATCGCAGACAATCTTTATACCCAACCTCTTTCCGCTAGTATAAGAATAAGGAATATCCTAATCGAGAGACGAGCGCAAGGTACCATTCATTACTCGTCAGTGATTGGACCGGTTAAAGGCTTTCAGATGTAAGTTTGCGGTACTATCAATTACCACATAATACAACCTATACACACGGAGCGTTAAAACATATTTTTATACATTTATGAAAATACTTACATTCTGATTAACGTATGATGAATAACAATACACTTTATATATCTTATAAATAATGGAAATTAGTTATACATGACATGCAATATTCCAAAATTTACCAAATATGATTCTTTATATTATGGTTAATAAATTGAAATGAATACTATAACATGGTAATTATTAGGGATGATTATATATGTATACGATTACTTATCGTTGCAAACAGAAATAATCCGTAAATCCCTGGTCTTAAACCGTTTATCCCGTAAAATAACAGAATTAAGTCCATTAAAGAATGGAATAAAACATTTTATCCCTATATCCTTAAATTTTACGAAAAGTCCTGGTTATTCCCTCGTTTATTCCCTAAAATAACAGAATTAAGTACATTATAGAAGGGAATAAAACATTTTATCCCTAAATTTGACGGAAATTTCCTGTTTAATACTGAATATTCCATAGAAATACATAAAACACGTAATTTGAAGAAATAATTCACACTTTTAAAACAATTTCTCAAAAAAAAGAGTCATCGATTAACAGAGAAGAAGTGTTAAACTATGGAATTCGGCCACCTAAAAAATTGACATTTTTACAGTGTAGCACAGATTGTTTATTATCGTAGCAACGGTAGTTGATAAGCCTCTATTCACCATTTTTATATTAAATCTAGGCCGTCCGATGGTCCAGGGAGTTGATTATAGGCTTGTCAAATGTGAATAAATGTCTAGATAATAGTTTACATAACATTTCAAGCCAAAATAAATAGTTGCAATAGTCAGATTTAGTTCTAACATAATAGATCTTTAAGATGATATGAGAATGAAATTAATGTCCCTGATAGTTCAAGAATGATATTAATACCATATTCGAATGAAATTGACATCACTGAAATTTGTAAGTAATATATAGATTTGCTGGACTGTATAAATATGTCAACAAAATACAAACATATTTACGTTTATTCTTGATGTAAAAGAATTGACTTTCTATGTCGACAGTGAAACACAAAAGGTTTATATCTCATGAAATACTAATAAATGAAATGGAATAAAATCAATTAAAGAAGGCACAGACTTATCATTGTGTAGGCGAGTCCACCATATATAAGTTGTAACACCGTGTCTCTACCAACAAATAGATTCGGTCTCTTACGTGCATAATACATGGTATGCCCAGTTTTCTGTCATTTAACCGCTTACATTAATTAAAAAACAACAACCCTTTATAAAATATTTGTATAGATGATAGAAAACTAATGCTAGGTTCCCACTATCATCACGATTCGCGCTACGATTTTAATCGCAGAGTAATCGTGGTGATCCTATTAAGTCTTATGATATATTGAGGTCAGTCGCAGGAATCGTGTTGATCGCATTAAAACGTATCCGAACATATCTGCGCGTACCAGATCGTGGACTCCATAAGGACAGTCATGTCATAATGCATCGCACGACAGTGGGAACCTAGCATAATATATGCAGTAATAAATTTAATGTTAAGAACTATAAGAGAACACTTGTTGAAACGTCATGCTATATATGGAACCAATCTGGT